TGTCCTCCTCGAACTCTCCCCTTAGGGAGGGAGTGCAAGTTATCGGGATAGGCTAACGTAGGAAGGGCACCAAAGAAGGATGAAGAGAATGTCCATTGCATGAAAGTAGTGCAAAAGAACTGAAACCACTGAGTTATCAGGTGAGGTTGGGGTGTGGACAACCTCTATTGAAATTGCAAACATTGAGGGGTAGGACGAATAAATCAAGAAATTATAAATAAAGAGGCTATTGATGAACATTTGTGTTCTATCGAAATCATTTTTAAAAATCTAGAACCATAGTGGCAAAAATAAATAAATCTTAATAATGGCAAACACTTTCTGCTTGGAAGTATTCTAAGTGTTTTATGTACATTAACTCATTTAATTCATCCTCACAACAACTCTATGAAGAAACTGGCACAGAGAGGCTAAGTAAGTTGCCCCGAATCATATTGCAGTGGGCATTTGAGTCTGGAGTCCTTACTTCTCATCATCAAACTATACTGCTTTCCTCTCCTCTCTTCACCAATTCCCTCTTCTTTAGTGTGTCCCTAAAGCACTAGGGTTTGTACCACACAATTTGTCCCGTAAATATATTTTATCTTGACTTAATCATTGTCTTTGCTTGTGCGTTCATCTTGCCTCCACAACCAAGAGCTAAGACACATCTGTAATTCTCACTGTCCTGTGCCTCCAATCCCACGTGCACATACACACACTCACGTGCGCGCGCACACTCGTAATCCCTCCGCTGTGCACTGAGCTGCATAGACAGTTGAGTGCCTCCCCAGGGACGGTGGAATAGGGCAGTGATTGTGAACTGTTTCTAGAGACATCCGTTCAGCCCAAATCCTGGCTCTGAAGCCCTTTTACTGGCTGTGTGACCTTGGGCAAGTTCCTTTGCTTTGCTGAGCCCCAATTTCCCAATTGTAAAACGGGAACTCTAACAGCCCCTTCCTCATGCAGCACTTGTGCAGATGAGCATGAATCATCTAGCCTGGAGCAAATGTTCAACACAGATTATTATTGCTGTTGTTATTACTATTAGCATTTCCTTCATCCATCACTCTCCCCACTTCCCCCTTTCAGGACACTGGCTTTCTTGTAATTCCTTGTATATGTTAAGCTCTTTCCTGCCTCTGGGTCTTTACATTTGCTGTGTCCTGTGTCTGAATCATTTTTGTTCTACATTTTTATGAGATAAGCTTCTTTGATTCAGGCCTTTCCTCAAATATCACCTCCTCCAGGAGACCTTCTCTGATTATCTTATCTAAAGTTCACACACGCGCGCGCGCACACACACACACACACACACACACACTTCACTTTCTAACCATTCATTATCTGCTTAGCACTCCTCTCTATCTGAAATTATTGCATATGTTGTTTATTGTCTGCCTCCCTCCTGAGAATAAAGCTCTAGTCTAGGCAATCTACAACTTCCTTGTTCGTAGCGATGGTCCAGCACCAGGCATGAGAGAACACTCAATAAATCTTTGCTAATAAATGTTGAAACGGCTGTAACTGCTTGGAGTAAGACCACCATAGCCTGAGTGTTCACTCTGTGCAAAGCACTGTGCTAAGTCATTGATATGAATCACTTCATTTAATC